ACCTCAGGGCTAAGGTACTTTAGTCCTCTCTCCCTGCAAACCCAGCTTAAGCAAATGCAGCCAGAAAGACTCTGGTTGTCCCTCGAGATCTGTTGGCCCAGAGAGGAGCACACTTCCTTGCCCTTCTGGTCAACATCAGGAACTGAACTGCTATGGTCCCACAGCTCCTTTTATCGGAGTCTGCTGGGCTCTGATTGGCTGCCTCCCTACGCAGGCTTAGACGACCATCTTCACTGGTCCTTTCCTGGGTCCGGTAGGACTGCAGGGCTTCTTGTATGGAGCTGCAAAGGCCAGGTATACTCTGTCACGCTGCCCTATATATCAACTCACAAAGCAGCTTCTATCACTTTGTGAGGGGCTACTTTCTATATCCAAGGAAATGTACACAAAAACCAAAAAGGAAGTGCTCAGTTTGATGGTATATAAACAGGGTAGACCTAGATAAGAGCCTAAATAAAATCCGTGCCTCCACTCTTGCAGAGCATGGCCAACAAACAAATGAAGTTCATGTTTTAAAGAGGCCCGAGGGAGAGCTCTATGAAGCTTGAAAGCTTGTCCCTTCCACCAACAGAAGTTGGTACATTACCTTGACTCTTAAATACCCTCACGTTCTTCAAGCAGTACGAGGCCACACATCTAGCAGCACAAAGTGACTCCAGTTTCTAGAGAACACTGTGGTTACAGACTGGCTAAAGAAGGCCAGATAGTGATTTTATGATAAACTCCTTTTTGTGCAGCGTAACTTCTCTGGTGGTTTGTATACTGGGCCTGAACTACAGTACTTACACACCACAAACTGTTCATTACAGGTACTGCAGTAGTGTGTCAGCATGTATTTATTCATAGGCCTTTCTACGGTACTTAGCAACACAGTATTCTCAGCACTTCAGAACAGTTAAGCCCTTTTTAGCCTCACAACATGTGAGGTTGTGAAATATTTTTATCTCTTTGTTTTCAAGTGGGGAAACAGAGGTTCAAGGACGTTACGACTTTTCCAAGGTCACACAGCTCATCTGAGCTAAGAACAGAGTCTAGGTCCCATGACCCCTCATCCTCTGACTTATCAAGACCTCTGGACAGCATCTTCAGATGTTCGGAATTTTGACAGTTATGAAGAGACATTAATAACAATGGGGGTGAGAATATTAGGTTTTGCTGTCAGAGCGTGTTATAACAAAATGCATGAGTGCAATGCATTCTAAAATTCACTACATTTTTTATGGACGTGTACACTGCTTTTGTCAAAATAGCACTCCATTTCACAGAAAACACTTTCAATCATGCCTCTAGTTATTTAAAATATTATCTTTACATTTCACTGTTTCTAACACACAGACACACACAAACTGACAGTTGTCACGCATAACAAATTACACCATTCTATAGTGGTTACTCATGTATATACATAGCTTGTTTACAGCCCCAGGACTCTCAAGGGGCATCCAACATAGATACCTGGAATGACTCCGTGGATCTGTTCTCTTTCTTCTATGCCATAACTTCATTTTTACATTAGACATGTAAACAGCATGGCAGAAAAAAGTGATAACAGACTATACCAAAGCACTAGAAATGTTTATTTTAGCTTCATAAAAACCATGCTTAATCTAGCCTTTCATGTTATAGTAATCTATGTATCAGCCCACAACCTTCCAGCTAAATGCACTAAGTAGATTAAGCTGCTACATCAGCTCTGATTGATTTGAAATGTTTTTCACTATATTATCAAGATACAACAGTTCAGCATAAGTACCTTGAAGAAAGTTTTCCCCCTTTGGCAAATTTACAAAAGCAAATGCTTAAAGTGAATCACAATGAATGTCTGCATTTTTATAGGGGGGAAAAAAAACCCTTCAAATCCACTCTAAAGCTGCTTTTGCTTCCGGATTTACCAAAACCATCTGATTAATACCAGATGGTACCTATTTTATTGTGACAAAAGCAATCACGTTATGAAGAAAAACGGTCCCTCTGGGGGCTGTCATTTGTATTAACCAGTAGCAGGGGCACACCAATAGATGCAGACTACCTGTAAAAGGGTTTTATAAGCCTACTCTTTAAATTTGAAATTTGGGAAGTTTTTTCTACTACATTTGGAGAAGGTACTAAATAGGTCATAAATTGTAACCATCACCCAAATGACTACACAGTAGATCCTCAGCTGCTAACATTATCAGAGGTCATAAACATCAGTGACAACAAGAACACAAGAGAAAAGGAGAACACTCTCATTCTTTATGCCAATACTGCAGCCTTCACTGTAGCTCATTCTCTGACTATATGGTGCATATATTTGTACAGATGGAGTGAGAGCTTTGCATTTTTTCAGAATCCACCCCAAGAACTTGCTGAGATGTTAACAGCACAAACAACTATAAATATGGTACTGAACATCTGGCCTGTCTACACAGGAGAGGTGGGGGAGACATTGCTATAGGAACCTGTGAAAAAGGCAGAGTACTAAGAGATGATCCTGAGATGCAAAATTTAGCTCTTTGCTCAGATTTCAATTAGCTTCACATTCAGGCATGTTTGGATTCATGGTTTTGGTTTGTCTCATTAGAGAAAGGCAGTACTGCAGAGCACATATTAGTAGTGGGAAGGTGGCCGCCATCAGCAGGGATATTACAGCACAGCACAATGCAGGCAGCTAGGGAAACCCTGGCTGCACTGAAACTGATGTTAAAATTCGCATTGACTTCAACAGGGTCAGGATTTCACTCCTGGACTCCAACTTCCACTGGTCTTGGTGATTCCTTTAGTACTATTGAGCTCCTAACTTCCTCTGGACTTCCCACCCAACCCACATTCAGTGTGCCTATAGGGCTCCTGAGCTCCACAGACTTGCCCTGGGCACACCAGATCCTTTAGCCCTCCTGCTTGCTTACTGTCCATTTGGTTTCACCCAGTCATCAATTCTCTGCTCCCCAGCAATCAATATCTTGATTCCTACTTCCAGCCCCAGCGTTGCCTCCTACAGACTTTTTAAATCTGTAGAACCCAGTGGAGATCACATCAGGCTCATGGGAAGACGGGGAATCAAGGTAGGAAGCCTGGGGGATGCTGCAATGTGGAAGGGAGCTCACTTATGGAGACCAGCTGGGAACCAGAGACCATCCAGAGCTCCTAAGATGCACAGAGCGCTCTGCTCCCTGGTTCTTCTGCTCACAATTCCCTGAGGAGTGTGGGGCCTATGGGCTAGACCAGAGAGACAGGTCTGCAAAACTCAGATTCTGAACTCCACCTCAAAACTTAGCAGGTGTTTCTACCTAGGGTTTTGCTCTGGACCCTTCTCTACCCTTTTCGTGGGGACTGGTCACTCTATTATTCAAATATAAACTGTTTTCAGTCACATAGTCTGTGACACTGTTAGCATCACAGACAAAAGGCTTAAGTATGATCATCATATAACAATGAAATTATCAAGAAACAAATGGATACTGTGGATCTGATTCTGTAACCCTTACTCCCATTGAGTTGCACTTTCAGTGGGGTTACTTATTTTGTATGTGCTATTCAGTGTAAGGGAAGCAGAATCAGGCCCTGTATATTTACATTGTATTCGATCACAGAATCATTTATTTTATCAGTAAATTAACACAGCTTTAACAAGAAATTTTTTATAAAGGACAAAACTGAAAATCAATGTCATGTAAGAAGTAACCCGAGCAATCCATTAATTGAATAAAAACGTGTGTCAGCATAACATCAGCATCACTGTATGCTAGCTTGATCACTTGGAGTTCACTGACATGATAAACTCCTTCTGTCAGCATTATGCCCTGTACGCAGCGCACTTTGAGAAGACCTTATGTACTAAATGCTGTTTATCAGCAAAACAGAGATACTGATATGTACACTTGACCTTCAGAGTCGCAACAAGGAAACCTCATCTCTTTAGGAAAAATTAGATTAAATCAGCATTTTGCAACAACCCATCAGCCACTCTGACTAACTGCAAAATGCTTTACAGGGAAAATGTTCCATGCAGTGTCATTGCAGCCATGTTTATCTTCAGGTATTAGAGAGACACAGAGCTCTGTGTAAGCTCGAAAGCTTGTCTCTCTCACCAACAGAATAAAAGATATCACCTTGTCTCATTACAGGGAAAATGTTAACGGTTAAGTATTCTGTGATGCATAAGTATTTCAGCTTCAACGTATATTTAATCATCAAAAACAATGACAAACAGGTAGCAAACACTTCCACGACGTGTGCATACAATTTAGGGCCCCGAGTCTTTGGGAGTGATGACTGAAAAACGGCTGGTTTTAGTTTTCTGGTTCTTGAGGCCAGTTCCTTACCAGCCTTAACTCTGGCACAAGGTAGAATAGCCTAGGGGTTGCTCTACACTATGCCAGCTAGCAGTGGCACACAAGGGGACATCTGCCAACTGAGAATAGCAGGCGTGCAACATTGTATTAGCTATGGCCCTCCTGCCCTTATGGGACCATTAGGTGGAGTAGGAGTCAACTGCACTGGCTCTGTGCCAGCTGAGGACTTCCCCATGCCAAGGAAATTCTCAGCTACCTAGATCTGCACAGCTTCCAGCTTCTTTGTGCTACCTGGTCTGGTACAAAAGGGCCAGAGCACCTGGTTCTAGAAATCTAAACCAGAGGTTTTTTGTTAACTTCTTACCCTTATCCCCCAACCCCTTCCCCACACACACGTCTGTCACTTACTGTGATTAGAAAATAAGCACGTCTGATGGAAACCTTGAGTTATTGCAGGTGTCATTATGTAATGAAGCTGTTCTGTTCATTAACACCCTGTGATTTGTCACCCTTGAAACAGGGGGGGGAAGCCCTGGAAAATACAATTCTTACATCCTCTCACATTATTCCCAGTTCAGCACTTCAGTTAACTGTTGGAACAGCTGAAATTCCAACTAATGGGCCACAGTCCTGAGAAGTCAAATGTTTCACTTCTAATTTTACCCCATACTACAAATCTAGAGCTTAAACTCATAACTAACTGCAGCCTTCAATATTGTGTCCTACCTTCATATAGCCAGTCGCTGAGGCCATTGAAAATAACACCTTCCTTTCCAGTGGAGACCACTCGGATGGCTTGTTTCCCCACATGAGCACAGTAATAGATGTTATTCTCAAACATAAATATCTAATTTGAAGGGAAAAGGAAAAGAGAACACTGGTAAGCAGGGAGTCCATTATAAAACAGTGCATTGCTTTCACAACAATCAGCAGTACATGGTGATAGATCACATTTCTACAGCAACTTTTAACAAAAAAGGATCCCAAAGCCTTTTATCAAGTATATTGCTAGCTTCTCAGCTGATTTAAGTTGGCATAGTTCCATTGACTTTAACAGAACCCGTTAAAGTATTTCTTCACTCATTACTAAAACATTGTTATCACTTTAGATAATGAAATATGGCAGTTAAACAGCAATGATCTGCAGCTTAAGGGCAAGAAGTGAAAAATACCATATCCTCCTAGTAGTTTCTGAAACATGGAGCATAGACCACTGATGGTCTGAAGAACGTTTGCTGTGTGGAAACCTGGCTGGTCATAGAAGGCTGGTTCTCCTTGTCTGTAGAAGAATGTGTTTCCTTAAAAGATAGCTGATGGTGTATTAAATACTTTTTTAATAGTGATTTCAATGCAAGGTCTGGCTGTAGATGCTACAAGAATGACATGTCCTCCTGAATAGGAGGGGAAGTGGGCTGTGTGACTACTAGTGGCTTGGAAGGTGGCCCTCAAGACAATTTAGATTCTCTATTAACATGTGGCCCATATTGAAAGGGCTGCGAAATCTCCTGCCACACCCTATTGAAATTACTGGGTAATTTTAGGTTGTTGGAAGGTAATTACCCAAACTGAAATTTGGCCAGGGCATGAACATTAATATGCATACTCTTGAGACAGGTGACAGGGGATCCTTAATTCATAGATTCCAAGGCCAGAATGGACCACTGTGATCATCTAGTCTGTCCTCCTATAATGACAATGACTGGTCAGGACCAAAGGGCCTGACCTTGGAAACCTTTACTCACACAGGTAGCGCTACTCACTCAGTGGGACTATCTGCATGAGTAAAGACTACTGGCATGAGTAAAGGTTTGCAGCATCACACCTCAAGGGTTTATGAACAGTCAAGAATTCAAGCCTACAGCTAGGCTCCTAACTAAGTATCTGGTTTGCAAAGTACCAAGTACCACAGATCCTGCTTAAGTCAACAGAACCTGGTGGATGCTGGGCTCTTCTGAAAATTAGGCCTCTTATTTAGGTGTTTAAATATGGACGTAAGAGCAAAACTGTAAACACACATTCTTGAAAATCTTGGTCCTTGGCCTCAATCTTTGTCCTTATCTCTGGCTAAACACTGTTTCCTGTATCACTGTCACATGCAATAAAGGGATGGTTTTTAGGGGTGGGGGGTGGGGTTGTTTTCTCTGTAGCAAGTTTCATCCTTTTAAAAATAACATCTTGCTTTGAAAAATACTATTAAACTTCATTCTACCAGGCTGCAGAGATGCAAGGCACAGAAGTATCAGCAAAGCAATTCAGTTGGAAAGACAAATTGTTAATGACATTTAATGGACGTTTAAGGTGGGATTTTTATACATTTAATGCTATTGGAACAAATGTTAAGTATCTTTTCCACGATACAAGAATGCAATTTCTTACACTGTACTTATGAAAAGGTAGAACTGGAAAAAATATTTGCTTTCAATTCATGTTTCACATCCTATTACAGTAGTGTTTCAACCAGAGATGAGTTACAAAGCTGCCAAAAGCAAGTATAGATCCAAATTTAATTTCAGCAGCTGTTATGGTGAATTTGCCTGGGGTAAAAAGTAGAACTAAAACTGTAACTTGTTTTATTCTTTTTCAGCCTACATGAGTTTGAGCTAAAAAGAGCTGCATCCAATTAATGTATTCTGAAAGTAAAAATATGCTGTGACAGATATTAAATTCTCCTCTCTCTCCTGCCTTTATTTTTATTTTTAGTATGCAGATAAAACAAATGAGAGGTACTGTGCATAGACTGTTATATTAACTAACAATTTTGCATATGCTGAAGTTTAGATGCACACAAAAAGTCAGGACTAAGCAGAATAACATACTGTAAGAAGAATACTAGATTTTTCTTTTACACTTCTAAAACCAGCACTCTCCCTCGTGGATGAAATTAAAAAAAAAAATCAAAGTGATGCTGTGGTCACGAAAACTGAACACAAATCAAACTCTAAGCCACATAGAACCAGGGTACCTGATTATGATCATATTGCCATCGGTATAAATCCATTCACTGACTTCAGTGAAGCTACTCTTGACTTACAGAGTCAAGCCCAGAGGTGTCCAAACTTTGCTCAGACACACTGTAAACTAGCAAGGAGCCCAAACGACTACAGCTAATTTGCATTAAAGAGAGCAAATTGTGGCCACTGTGCGTGTGTGTGGGCAGGAGGTCTGTGTCTTCATCTGTCAAATAACTAGCACATCGTGGGTGCTACTGCAACCTAAGGAATATTAATAATGAAAAATGTTGTTGCACAGAATTTATATCGGCCTTAGGGGTGTGGCAACTCCTGTAGGTTCTACAGTCCCAGTGGCAGAGGTAGCGGGTTCAGGGCAGGGTACGTTGTGGGTGTTGTACAAATTCCCTTCCTTCACTCAACCTGCTCCACAATTCCCTTGTGTGTAGGAGTGGTTCTTTAAAAAATTATATTGCTCTCCACAATAGGCCTAGCTCTCTCCAGGATAGGTCAGCTTCTAGCAACTCCCAATCTCTGCTGTGAGAGAGGCAGGACAGTCCGGTAATTATGCTACTAGCCTAGGATTTGAGACACATGGATTCAATTCCCTGCTCCACCACAGACTTCTAGTGCAACCTTGGGGAAGTCAATCTCTTTGTGCCTCAGTTCCCCATCTGTAAAATGGGGATAACAGCCCTTCCCTACCTCACAGGAGTGTTGTGAGGATAAATGCATTAAAGACTGTGAGGTGCTCAGATACTAAGGTAATAGGGGCCACATAAGTACTTAAGATAGATAAACGCATTCATAGTTGTCTAGGATTTCGGTGATGTTGTAAGTACCAAAGACACAGGGCAGTGCACCATTAATGGTTAGTATTATGGCTATTTATTTAGATTGTGGTAGCATAAACATTGCACTAGGTTATATCCAAACCTAGATGAAGACACTTCTCAACAGAAGAGCCTCCCAAAAGGGAAAGGGTCAGATTACAACTGGTCAACACCTTCTCTTCCCAGTGACAGGAGAGGATGGGGGTTCCCCCAGACTCCCAGCTCTTATGCATTCAGGTGAAGTTATTGGTTTAGACACCCATGTTTGAAAATTTTGGCCTTAGATTTTGACTGTTAGGCCCACCCCAACTCTTACAGAAGTTAATAGGAGTTTTTCCAGCCACGTCAAAGGGAGATGGATCAGGTACTTGCAGACTTACAATGCTACATTCCCAGACAACATCCTCCTTTCTATGGTATGATGAATAGTAATGAACACAGTATATTCGGGGGCCTTGTCACTGTATAGAAAGATTCCATTTAGTCCCCTCTAGTTGAGATTTATTCTTTTCTGCAAAGATCATCCAATCAAGCATTCAGATTAGAAGAAATTATTCAAGTGATGCAACATAACATGTTCCTTGCTCGGAGTTTCACAGCAATTGAAACAGAAGGGCTTGCCATACTTCGTATGTTATTTACCTTTAAACAAATCTACAGGAAAAGTAAACAAAGCCGAGTAGCAATATGCTTATATTTCTTCACTTCTTGCATCTTTCAGAGCTTTGCTACACTAATCAGTGTGCACACTGCACCAGAGAGCTGCAATGGAAAATGAATACGGTATTTTTACTTTAAAGTAATTTCCATATAATTCAGAGCCAAACTGCAGCACCTCAGAGAATTTAAAATTATCCTCTTAACTACAGTGCCTTGTACCCTGAAAATGTCAACCATAATCAAGATAAAACATAACTGAAGCAGCACATAGAAGACTTCTGTGTAATGTAGTTTATAAATTAAGAAAAAGCTTTTGAACTTTCACTATCCATCAAAAAGAAATGTCTTTACGTTACTCCATATCCCAGGTTACAGTGATATTAGATGATTTTATGAAATACCATTATAATATTTTCTATTTTTTTACATTAGAAGAGAAATATATCGAAAATAACCAGATTCCTTTGAATTAGTCAGTACATGATGAGAATTATTTGTAAAACAACATTTTATGGACATTAATTCCACACTATTTTATGCTTACTTTATAAAGTAGTATATTTCAACTCTAACATAATGCATGGAAATTAGATGGTTTGATTTGACTCCCACTGAGTTCAATGGGAGTAGACTCAAGCACTAAATTTACTGGTGCCCTTTCCTTTTTCTGTGTAAACTCAACTGCAGTGGGATTTACGTGTATGCATTAAATGCATTATTATCCATCTTTTTACTGTGGATAGTCTATGGAAACTGTCACAGTGGTAAAAAAAAGCAGGCAAAATGTTAAGATGTATAATTAATGGCATGGAAAATAAAGCAGAACATATTATAATATTATTAACATGCTTCCATTTGGAATACTGCAATCCATTCTGGTCAACTTATTCCCCAAAAGAAAATAGCAGAAACAGAGGGGGTTCATAGACATGCAGCATGAATAGAGGCAATTAAAAACTTCCATACATGGACAGACTGAAAAGACTGGGGCAGTTTGCTCTAGAATGGAGAAGAACAATGGGTTGGGACAAAATAAAGATCCACAAACTAACAAATAATGAGGCGTCTTTGTGGCACCTAGAGACTAACAAATTTATTTGGGCATACCGCTTTTGTGGGCTAGAATCCACTTCATCAGATGTATGGAGTGGAAGATACAGGAGCAGGTATAAATACATGAAAAGATGGGAGCGTGGTAAACAGGGTAGACAGGTGAACAAATGGTGCAGAGGTGGTAGACAGAGCACTGCTATTCTCCCCTTTTCAAGAACAAGAGGACATTAAATGAAACCGAGAGGAAAAAAAATTTTAAATGGATAAAATGATTCCTCTCCCCATGTATAATTAACCTATGGAACTCACTGGCACAGGTATCAAAGACATGAAAACCCTCTCAGAGCAGGGTT